AAAAATAAGAGGATCTATTATCAAAATGAAAGATGATTTGATTGGATTAGTCAGTCAAGATCGGATTGCAGCTCATCACTGTAGATATGCAAGACGAGATGTAATCTCTAATAATTACACCAATTTCAAGCGATTGCCTTGTGTAAGTTAGAATTTTTAATTTCTCGAGGGTCTATCCTGGCAGTACACAAAGTAAATCAAATATGATAGGCAGACTATAAAATAACACAAATCATTCACGAGCACACTTTTTAATTCATAAAATAGTACTTCAAATGATTCTTCGCATTCCATTTACAACAATTATCAAAGAGTTGGCAAAATCAAATAATATTTTTATTAATATCCTTTGTAACCTATAATCAATTCTCAATTGGAAAAAATAAGATGACTCACTATGAAAGTTCTCAAAAGCTCAAGCATAGACGTCAGTATAGGAGTGTGATCAATACGAATAACGTAATTAAACATTTGTACAGCATGATATTTGACCAATCATTCTTCACCTTGTTCAAGTTTACTGGAATCCGACAACAGGTAATCCTCCATAATTGTGGCGAACTGATCGGCAGACAAATGCCCATTCGCAGATACGTCCAGCTCACGAAAAACGCGTTCAGCCAATTCTTCAGTGAAATCTCCAAACTCCTTCGCAATGTACTAAACGGTAGATAATAAGTAAGATGAATAATAACTATTTAGATAATAGTGAAAGTTAAACTTACCTTAAATTCACTTTCTGTGATTATACCATTGTGATCTTGATCAAATATGTCAAAACACTCTCTTATGAGTTCCTCATTTGTAGATTTTATGATTTTTTGAGACTTTTTCATGCACGCACAGAACTCCTCGAAATCAATCTCCCCATTACCATCAGCATCGACCTGCAAAAGAGGTACAATAGTATTCTAGAAAACTCAAAATGAATTAAGAGGACCATTTTATTAGAGCTTGCTCGAGAACAAATGCCAAAAAAATGTTAGCAAGAAGTATTGCTCGAATAAATGATTCGCTTCAAAAATTATACAAATAAGAAGAAAAAGGCTTTGAAAGATTATCTACCGGATCTGGGAGTTATCTATGAACTGTTCAGTTAGCATAAACATTAGAATAAGTGAATTATGAGCACAAGAAAATAGTCATCAGAACAGTTGCACTTCCATGACATGCGAAACTTGATGATTGACTGCTGAAGAGTTAGTCAGCAAGTTCAAGGTACTTCTAATTATATACTTGCTACTCCGGGTAGAGCGATAGCGTGCAATAGTGTCATATTTTCCTAAACATCTTAATTTCGTATTACATTGACATCGTAGAATGTATTCATTCAGACGAGGACTATAATTTTAAATAAATGACGAAAAGAATACGTTGCGCTCCAGCTTCAATTGACCACTTTCTTAAGTC